CTCTTAAAAATGTCACATATAATTGTCCATGACTAAATACAAGTCTAGGCAAATATAATCTAATATTGTACAATGATTGACCTTGAGATTTGTTGATGATCATAACATATGAAACAATGAGTGGAAATTGCCTTCTTATGAGTTTGAAAGGCCATGGTGACCGAGAAAGAGATAAAAACATTCTAGGAATATAGATTAAATTCCCAAAGTTTTTTTCTCTAGAGATTATCTTTGCTTCAATGACATGATTTGCAAGTTTGGTGACTATCAATCTAGTTCCATTGCGCAAACCTTCAGATTGGTCTAGATTCCTCAACAAAATTATTGGTGTCTCACTCTTTAATTTGATTCTATGATTAGAAGCCCTGATGTTTTTAATATGTTTAGGAATTATGGAGTAATTGCTTCAAGTAGTGAGCTTTCAATTGTATCTAACATGTCAACAGAATCTGAGCTAAGATACCCCTTTTTATCCCCAAGAATCAATGAAAGAACATAACCATTGGTTTGGTCAACAATCTCAATATTTGACGTTGAAATAACTCTAGATTGCAAAAAGTTTTCATTCTTGCATTGCTGCACTGAATTTGGATGTGTTTTGAACAATCACATATGCCAAATCATTGAAATTAGTGATTAGAAATTCATGATGAAACTTTATTCCTACATAATCATCATTGGCTGAGTTAATTTCCCATCACCCACACGTAATAACCATTTAGAAATTTCTAAGTTCTTCAACACTTGTGTTGTTAGCATGACTTAACAATCACATGTTTTTTGTGAGTGTCAAAACTTGAGAATATTCCCAGAGAAAAAGTATTTTTTGTAGCATTGATAATGTCAGATCAACTTCCTCTTAAAATAACTAGGAGAATTTGTCTAAAGTCTCCACTAAAAATAATGACTTTTGCTCCAAATGGATAATCTCCATTATTGGAGAAGCTCATGATGTCTCTAAGGCTTTTGTCTAATGCTTAAAAAAAATATGCACCATTGGGGTTTCATCCCAAATTATTAGTTGTGTTGTTTTTAATAGCTCTACAAGTTCAATACCTTGATGAATATTAGAAGTTAAGTTTTGCAAGGTAGGAATAGGGATTGCAAATTTTGATTGTGTAATTAATCCTCCTATCAATAGTAAATAAGTTATCCCACTTGATGCCATAGTCAAAACAAAATGGCCCTTTGAATGCAATATAGATGTCAATGTTTTCCACATGAAAGTTTTTTCATTTCTCCCATAACCATATAGAAAAAAATTCCATGATGTTGATCATAAACAACCTTCACTATTGTTTCAAATATCTTGCTTTGCTCATATACATCAATGAATACATAAATAAAATATCTAACAACTCAATGATATAAAAAAAAAATAAACATTAGTAGTTCCATTTGATTACATCACCAGTTAGAGAAGCAAATAAAGTTTGAAAAGCATAGTTCAATTGATCTATATTGTATTGGCACTCTGCATATAGATCAATCTATTTCCCATTTGACATGTTACAATCCTTGATGGATATGACATTGATAGATAATCTTTTAGATTTTTCCTAAGTTAACATAAATAGGAGTTAAAAAGGTAGAAAATAAATTGAAAAAGTTTGTTTTCTAGTTTATACCTCATCAATCAATTGTATTTTAATATAAAAATTGATTTCTTAATCAATTGATAACATTCTCTATCCAAAAGTATAAATATTGTATTGACACATGATATTCTCTAGATGTTTTCCGATAGCTTGTATTTTGTCCCCCTAACAAAGTAACACGAAGAGATTAACCATGCAATAAGTTATGCATATGTTATATTTTGACTCATAATAAAGAGTTAATTTTTATCCACGAATAACATCTCAATTATTGACCTTTGAGCCATTTGAATAGTCCAAATTTTTATAATTCTAACTGTTAATTTCCAAGTTTTCCTAGAGTAATTAATGTCCTTGATTGAATTTAATCTTCGTGTCATGCTGATTTATTTGTCTAAACAAAATGAATTAATAATCAAAAGTCAATGTTACATATGTTATATATAAATAAATGGTTAAATACCTATTTTGGTCTCTTATAATTTTTTTTTGTTTCAATGTAGTCCCACTTTTATTTTTGGTCTCAATTTGGTCTCAAACTAATTAATTGGTTTCAATTTAGTCCCAAATTAATTAATTGATTTCAATGTGGGACTTTCCGTCCAAATTATTTAAATGGAGTTAACTTTTGGGCACATGAATGCCACGTAGATGCATACGTGGATGTCACGTGGATGACAATTTTTTTAAAACACCTGGACCCAGAACGGCCCGTTCCGGTTTCAGAACGGGCCGTTCCGGTTTCATTTTTTTATATATAAAATATTAATAATTTTATAAAATATATATTATTAATTATATTTTAATTATGTTGTTATATCTAATAAAATAAATATATTAATATTTTTTATATATTTTATTTTATTATGTTTATCTTATTAATTTTTATCATTTTATTCCTCTAATTTTAAATAAGTTGCAAAAAATTATAAAGTGATACTTAAATATTTCTTCAAACAGAAAGAGAAAAAGAAAAAATTATTACTCTATTTATAAGACAATTGTATTTTATAAAAATAAGTAATTTTAAAATTTTTACCATAAAAAAATATTTTTCAAAATTATTATATTTTTTAATAAAATTAATAAAGAATATTGGTTTAATTGCATTTTTTATCCCTCAAGTATTACAATTGTGCAGTTTTGATCCACAAGATTTTAATTGGGTAATTTTAGTCCTTAAAGAATTGCAATTCGCGATTTTGGTCCTTCAATTTTTAATTGAACAATTTTAATCCCTTGAATATCATAATAGTACGATTTTAGTTTCTCCCATTAAAAATTAATAATAAATATATATCATTTGATATATTAAAAAAAATTATAATATACGGTAATTTAAATAAGCAAACAATTATATAGTTTTAAAACATTATATATATATATTAAAATTTTAAAATTATTAATTTTTTAATGAGAAAGACTAAAATTGCACAATTATGATATTTGAGAGATTAAAATTGTTCAATTAAAAATTGTGAGACTAAAATTACACAACTAAAATTTTTTAAGGACTGAAATTACTTAATTAAAATCTTAGGGATCAAAATTGCATAATTATAATGCTTGAGCGATCAAAAACACAATTAAGCAAAAAATATTCTATTCTCAGTTTTGAAACAGGCCATTCTGAAACCAGAACGACCTGTTCTGTTTTCAGAACGGCCCGTTTTGTTTTTAGAACGGCCCGTTCTGCTGCACTGGTGGTGTGTTAATTTTCGCATCTGGAACGACCCGTTTCAGTTGCAAAATTAACACACGAAGAGTGCAACCAGAACGGCCCGTTCTGAAACCAGAACGGGCCGTTCTGGGTCCAGGTGTTTTAAAAAAAAATGTCATCCACGTGACATTCACGTATGCACCTACGTGGCATCCATGTGCCCAAAAGTTAACTCCATTTTAATAATTTAGACGGAAGTCTCATATTGAAACCAATTAATTAATTTGGGACTAAATTGAAACCAATTAATTAATTTGGGACCAAATTGAGACCAAAAATAAAAATGAGACTACATTGAAACAAAAAAAGATTATAAGGGACTAAAATAGGGTTTTAGCCTAAATAAATTAATCTATCATGTTTAACGAACTTTTCTATAAATCTAAGCCTGACTTCTTTTTATATATAAATAATTTTTTTAAATTTAAATTTGACATTTTTATTAAATAAATAAAGCCAGATTAGACCTTAAAGACACTATGTCATAAGTCTTACTTAAACCCTGATCTATTCTCATCCTTACCGATAATTAAGTTGAATGATTTCATTAAAAGACTAAATAAAAACTTAAATATTTGAAAAGGAAAAAAAAAACTAATGAATAAAGAGAAAGGTAAAGAACTGCATTAAGGAAATGTATTCTATTTAAGCTAAAAAAAAGAAGAGAGAAATTGGATTGAAAAAGTGTTTCTCTTTCTATTTAATCATATCACACTATATCTCTTTTATTACTAGTTGCTAGTTTTGGTGGTAAATATTCATCTTGTTGCTTCTAGTTTGCAAAATTTCTTTTATTATTAAGTGTTTGTTTTCCTTCTTATCAAATATTATACTTATTAATTTTATGTATTAAAATAATAATTCCTTCATTGAAAGAATAGGAAAGAGGAGCTCTCAATTTTTCAAAAAACTGCTTTAATTTGAAAAAATGTTTTCAAAGTTTCAGAAAAAAAAAATATTTTTCATATTTATTGGTTGTTTTATTTTTCTTTAAAACAGTAATAAGAAACTAACTAATCCCTATAAATATATTTGTAATATAATATCTATAAAGTTGTTTTCAATGTTGCATAAAGCTGTTATAATATTACAAAAAGTTATTTTCATATTTGTGATTTATTTTAAAAAATGTTAAATAAAATAAGAATAATAATAAAAAGAATAAAAAATTTTAGACAAAAAATTAGAGGAAGTAAATATTGACATGTGAAAAAAATTTATTTTATTAGTAATAATAATAGATGAATAGATAAAATAGATAGATAAATGTGAACAACTTATTTTCTCAAAGATTTAATTATTCATTAAATTCCTTTTTCAATATCCACAACTCAATCTCAAAATAAAGAAAAAATGTAAAAAATAGCAACAATCAGGATTAAATTACTAAATTGAATAATCACTCATTAATTTTGATCTACCTACTCAACAAAAGTGAGATGGAATTGGAAAGAGTATACAAAAAAGTGAGTCAGCGTTGGTTAAATTTTAAAAAGATTAAATTAATACTGTGATACCAAATATTTAAAAATCAATTTATGTAATTTAATTATTTTAAAGATTGTAACCAAATTAATTAATCATCAATTATAAGAGAAAGGGAAGGTGAAAAAAATTAATCAGAAGTTAACACTGAGCCCTATTTCTGTCCCTCCCTCCCTCTCAAGAATCAAAAGAACACGGTCAGCATTCAAAAATGCATGTAACTTTTCATCTTCTATTCTCTAATTTATTTTTTCCCTCTTTCGTCTCTGTTCCTGATTTTCTCACTGTTCCTTTCTCTCGCTTGTCTTTTCATTTGAAGAGGTTTTACTTGCGACCACACTCACTGAGTTACTCTTAGTTTGATTTTTTCGTGCTACACTTTTTTTCTGCTCTTTTCGTTTTTTACTGTGAAAAATGTTGGGTGTGTTTGTGTGATTCTAATTGTTTTTGTGTCGATTTCAGGTTTTGATTGTTGGAGAAGGCATTCAAGTTTCTGCCGGTAAGATCACTGTCTGCTGTCACTGTGTAAATTCTGCATTGCATGTTCTTTCGAAGGGTTTCGCTAGGGTTTTGGTGTGAGCGCATGTTTAAAGTAGAGTCTGTGAGAAAGTGTTTCTTCAAGTTGTCCTTGTTTAAGTTTGACTAAAAAATCTCAGTGCTTTTCTGTGTGCTATTTTACTCGCTTCATTCGAGTTAGTTCACTTAAGTTTGTGAGCGGTTGCCCTTATTATTCAGTTAAATTAAATTTATGTAGAGTTCTTTGTTTTTTCTCTTTGAATTTCAAGTTTAGAATTGAAAGATTATGATGATTGGGAAGTTAAAATATTCACTTGAATCATTGACTCCTTTGGGTATTTTATCGTGAACAAAGAAGCCTAGAAATGTTCATATTGTACGACTTGCAGCATGCTTTCTTATTAGACAGTATATTGATTGATGGTATGAAATGTTGTATTTTATGTAAAAATATGGAGTTTTCTTATCATTGAATTTAGTTTCTAAAAATTGTTGTCTGGATTTTGGTTTTTGTACCTAGCTTTCCTGGTTATTGAAAAACTGAATAATTGACATATCAATGTTGTCCAAGATTCTTTTTAATTTACTGCCTAAAAAATGTTTGTCTTCCTAATTTTTCACAAATTTCCCTTCTCAGGAATATTTGAACTTTAGGGGTGTTTTACATTTGGGAGCCTGTGGTAAAAGTAACTGTTGGCTGATTATAAATGGCACCAAATAAAAGGGTGGGTGCGGCCTATCGTGCAATGGCAAGTCTTGGTGTTGATGAATCGAAAGTGAAATCAGTGTTAAAGAAACTCCTCAAAGTGTATGATAAAAATTGGGAGCTTATCGAGGAAGAAAATTATAGAGTTCTAGCAGATGCTATATTTGAGGATGATGACAATATGGTGTGATACTCACTTTATTTGTTCTCCCTCTTTCTACGACACACATGAGTGTGCTCTTTTTTGTTGCATGCTTACTTCCCTTGTTGGATTTTATTTTACAGGTTCCTGAACTGAAAAGGAAGAGCCAGACAGTAGATGCGCATAACACTCATCACTCTTTGTCTTCTTCCTTATCAAACAACCTAGAAGAAGAAACAGAGTGTGAAGAGGCTCAGATGCATGTTGAAACAGCTCGACCTTTGAAAAGGCTGCCATTAAGAGGCCAAGAGATTCAGCCTTTGCATCCTTCAACTAATAGTGCTCCCAGCCCTCCATCAAAAAAGTTTAAATCAGAAGATAGTGGATTACCTGGGGGTTGTTCTGGGAAGAAACCTCAAAACAAAGCAGTGTCATCTGATGGGAATCCAAGAATTGAAGCACATGTGTCACCCCGAGATGGCATTGTTGATAAGGGAAAGCAGCCTGCATCAACCCAAGTTTCTCACAGAGGAAGAAGACTTGCATCTGAAAGAGTGTCCCCATCGATACCATCTAAAGAACCAACAGTTGAACCGGGAAAAATTCTGTTGCCAAACAACCAAATGTCTCGAACTCATGTACTGCTCGTACCCAAGGACGAGCCTGTTGATGAATTGCCTGATTATGAGATGCCCATTGCAGTGATTCCTCCTGGTATTTGTGGACTATTCAGTCATTAATTCTGGCCTTTTGGTTTAGTGGCCTGGCATATTATTTGCAACTGGCATGTTTTGATTATAGTTTGCAAACCATGGGTTTACCCATTCAGCAAACAATTTTTTCCCACTTTCTATCAAACCCTGGATTAATACCCTAAGTCATTTTCAACCACGACCAGCCACAGTTGTGCCAAACATGTTGGTTGTGTTTGAGTCACTGTTTGCACTCACCAAACCTTGAGATTTAGGGTTTGCAAACTACAACGAAACATGGTCCAGTATTTGCTTGGTAGTATTGCATTAGACAGAAACTTTTTTTTTTATGGAAGTATAGGAAAAATCTTTAAAGCTACCATACCTCACGAGAATATAGAAGACAATGCCCAAATTTTGGTATGTTGTTTAATAATTGGACCACATTAGTTTCCAACTGATAGAAGTCAGGCTCTATGGTCACTTCTTATGCTCTAAATAGAGTATACAATAAGTATACAAATGCATCATGATGTCCATTGCTTGTTTTATGTAAATGTAGCCATTTCTGGCTTTTGACTCGGTCTCAAACCAGATAGTGTTATTTTTGTCTCGATTGTTCTTTTAATTATTTTGTAAATTAGCATTCATTTTGTAAAGAGGATGTTTAATGATTTTTTCCCCTCTCAGAGCCATCGAATGTAAGGGACTCGTCAATGAAAAACGGTGTAGCTGGAAAGCATGGTGACCATGTTACCATGTCATCATCACAACACAGGGGAAGAGTTAGAGATGAAGATATTCCTACCTCAAATGGAGAGGCAACTTGTAATGTTGAGATAGCATCATCAACTCTTGGAGAGGTAAAACTTTCTTTGAGCTGCAGCTCAGCTCTTCAGGGATCAGGTTTTCATATGCCTAGTCAAGATCAACTTCTACAAAAGATAGAGGATAAATGTCTACGTTCATATAAAATCATTGACCCAAAATTTTCTGTTTCGAAACTGTTGAGAGATATATGTGATTGCATGTTGGAATTCAGAACTAATTCAAGTGATGACTCACGAGAAGGCTCTATAATAAGATCAGGTGCTGATGTGTCAAAGGAGTCACAGGAAAATCATGGCACACCAAATGTGGGAGAAAGTAAAGATTTGGACATGTTGTCTGGATCTTCAAACGGATCAATCGATGTTAATGCTTCTACTGGTTTGGTTTCCCTTTCTCCTCGAAGACCTTTTTCACTCACCCACCTGAGTGGGATGGATGATGCTGTCCTAGTTTCCAAGATGGACATAACTGATTTTTCACAAAATAATGGCAGAAAGGAGCCAGAAGGTCCCACCTCTCCAAATTCACGTAGTTTAGTGGTTGTTCCTCAGCATAACCTTACAACTGATGATATGAGGTCTATTCATGATGTAAATGACCTTACTAAAGGAGAAGAAGATGTTAAAATTTCATGGGTGAATGAAACTACTAATGATTTTGCACCTCCTTTTAACTACATACCCCAAAACCTTGTGTTCCAAGATGCTTATGTATGCATTTCTCTATCACATATTGGTGGTGAGGACTGTTGTTCGACTTGTATGGGCAATTGTATCTTGTCTTCTACACCCTGTGCTTGTGCAAATAAAACTGGCAGTGGATTTGCATACACTGCTCAAGGCCTACTGAAGGAAGAATTATTAGAAGAGTGCATTGCCATCAGTCACAACCCTCAACAAAATTTCTTCTATTGCAAAGATTGCCCACTGGAAAGATCTAAGAATGATGGTTGTTTAGAACCATGTAAAGGACACTTGAAGAGGAAGTTTATTAAAGAATGTTGGAGCAAATGTGGCTGTGGCAAACAGTGTGGCAATAGGGTTATCCAGCGAGGAATAACTTGTAACTTGCAGGTGGGTGTTTAAGTAATCTTTGTCACTTGTAAGCAAACAGATTTTCTTCAATGTTGATGAACAATTTATATTATTAATTTATATCTTATTTGGGTGTTATTTATATAATTTCTGTAATAAATGTCTGGACCTTAGGTATTTTTTACTTCAGAAGGAAAAGGATGGGGCCTTCGTACCTTAGAGGACCTGCCAAAAGGTGCATTTGTGTGTGAGTTTGTTGGAGAAATTTTAACCATTAAAGAGTTGCAAGAGAGGAACCTGAAGTGCAATGAAAATGGGAAATATACATACCCAGTTCTACTGGATGCAAATTGGGATTCAGGACATGTGAAGGATGAAGAAGCTCTATGCTTGGATGCAGCTTCATTTGGCAACACTGCTAGGTTTATCAATCACAGGTATTAAATTTCTCACTTATTGTTGTTAATTTGGCTCTAAGGTTCAAGACTAGGCCAGCAAACTAGAATTTATCAAGTCAATTAAGAGCCTCAAAATGTTGAAACCCTACAGTTTATTGGTCTAACACGGTCACCTTTACAACTTAATGAATTTTTCCATGTATAAAAGTTAGTATTGTCTCAGTAAAATTTCTTACTACTACAGTTCCATTGACGTGCATTACTTAATTGTGCTGTTTATTGAAATTGAGTAAAGCTGAAGGCAAATATTCATTTATATTGCTGTTTGATTTATAATTTATATGGACATAGATATTTACATTCACTTTTGAAATCTGATGCATCATCATAAAACAAAAAGAATCAAACCAAAATAAGAGGACAAAATTGACGTGGGTGGGTGGTTTTCAACTTTATAACTTATGAAGTAAAAAAAAATCATTATAGGGAAAACGTTACCAAATTTGGTATTATTTATAATTTATGTGAACAAGATAAATAACATGAGTTTCATTTTAATGCATGTTGTTCATTTTGTTTTTAACACAATGCCCTTCTAATAATCCAAAGGAAAAGCAACTCTTATGAATCAGAAATATTTGTGTAGAGAAACTGTATAATACAAAAGCTCAAACAGAATTAGGTTAGAAATGGTCCAATAATTTAATCCAAGTACAGGTAAAGAAATTAAAGACTGCATATTCAGATGGTTGATTGTGTCAGAAGATAGTTTTATACTTATCATTGTGTTCTCTTTAATTTCAACTTTTATTAATGTGTGGCTAGGCTCACATTTGGCACATTATTTGGTAATTAGAAATTTGTAACATTTAATAATTTCTATTTCATTTTCCCAGATGTTTTGATGCAAACTTGGTTGAGATCCCTGTCGAAGTTGAGGATCCCAGTCATTACTACTATCATGTGAGAAGTTATTAAATCTTTTAAGTTTTAATAGCTTTTTGGGACATGGTGGACTTTAGCATATTTTTTTGCTTATTGATACTTTTAATGTGTTAACATGTGCAGTTTGCCTTTTTCACTTCGAGAAAAATAGCAGCACGGGAAGAGCTAACATGGGTGAGTGTTTGGTTATGTAATAATGTTTGGTGAATAGTTATATAAATATCTCATTTTATGCTTATGAATTGCTCATTTTCTTCAAGTAGGGAGGAAATTAGCAACAACTATCAAGGTTGAGATAATTTGATTTATTCATGGTAGAAATTATTTTGTAGTTGTTTATGGCTATTATATTAACAAGTGCTCTGTACATTTGGTAGTTGGCAGACCTTTGAAGAGTTTTAATGACTTGTGTCTGCTCATTTTCTGTATTTGACATATTTCAAAATCATTTAATTAATCTTGGATTCATTTTTTCTCTAGAAAATCTAATGTATTTTTGCAGGATTATGGCATTGACTTTGATGACCATGATCATCTGGTCAAGCTGTTCCAGTGCAGATGTGGCAGTAAATTCTGCAGGAATATGAAGAGATCAAACAGTAAGTTCAATCTGCAGCTGTTGGGTCATTGGAAATTTCTTTTCACTTTTCATCATGATAAATGTGGTCTTTCAACCTTTCTTTGGACATTGTCTATTCTTATGCTTTGGCCTTCTCCACTTTGTTGCAATATTTGTTGTGGATTATTTATTTCATGTTTCAGGGCCACAAGCCCACAATGATACTTATGATATATAGAGCTCTACATCAGTATTGGTCTGTTTTTTTTTTTTTTGGATAGATTCTCTTCTTCTTTCAGAACATCTGTATCTGATTGGTGTCACATTTAATATTGGAACCATTTAATGTTTTTCAAAATTTAGGAATTACCATAAAAAAGATAATACTACAGAAGGCATGATTTTTAATTGAAGATTTGAATCTGTTCCCTGCTTGCATAGCATCATGCTTTATGCAGTCTTTTCTAGTCATTCGAATTGCCAAAATAAAAATTTGAATTTAATTTAGCTGTTTTGTTGCACAAATCATGAGGCAACTTTTTTGCTTTCCTTAAAGTGCATTGTTTTTCTGTTTGGTCTTATTTGATCACTTCACAAATCTAACCCAATTCTGAGTACGGAAGAGGTACAGGTACAGATTGAATCCCATCTGAGCATAACAGGGATACTGATGTCTGTAATAAATTTGAGCTTTTGACCTAACTGTTGGTGATTGAACTCATTAGTGTGATTAAAACAATAATTAGTTAATAAGTTGGGCAACTACTTTTTAAAATTACATCTATTGCCACTCTGAGTGATCTATCCTTGAAGTATGACAATGAATTGGCTCTGTAGCGGTTATGTTGGCCTATATTGCTAATTTTTAAACCAAAAGTACATTCGGGCATTTATGCAAAACTCATTCTAAAAGGTCATGGATTTATTATGGTGTGTATGAGTGAAACATGTTAATGTGGATGATGAATTCTTTGGATGCAAGTTAGTGGTGTAAAACTATTTAAGGAGTCTAGTGGGGATTTTAATGACTACATATTTTATTTATCCATATATTTGGCGTGTTTGATATGCATGAGCTTTCATTTTTTTTGAGTTGTAATTTCAGTAATGAATTTTCGCTCTTTTTTGATGCAGGATCTATTAGATCTGCCTCTAATGCAATATGATAGCCTTTCTTCGTTAAAACCAATTTTGTTGTCTCACCGTGCGCTGGATGAGTTGTAAAGAGATCCAGTCTACTTCGACAAGTGGTGCTTTTCGTTTAGTTAGTGGTTGGAAGACTAGTTTCTTTGTACAGGTATATGAAAACTATTATAGGCAGACATGGCCTACGAAAGGAAAGAGTTAACGTTTATTTTGGGATTATTTTGGTACTTATCAGAGGTTCAAACTAAGATATGAGCAAAATGGATGTTTGCTAAAACAAAACGGTGGGGCAGTAGTAAAGGTGAATATTTTTAGTATTTAACTGCAGCGTCTTTAGGGCTTTGAAATCTTTATCTTTTCTCAATATCAACACCCCTTACGTTGTAATTTCGTGTTATGAAATATGTTACCCATGCATGCTTGCTTTGAGGTTATTCACTCTCTCTCCCTCTCTCTCTCTCTCTCTCTCTCTATCTATCTATCTATATATATATATATATATATAATCTACAACATATATAAAGTAACAGTTTGATTTGGTATTTTTACTTTTCATAAATATCCAACTAATCAATAATCACTTTATTTTTTTTAATAATAAGTGCCTCTCTCTTGCTAGTATAATATAATATAATGTTGACACGAAGTACTGTATAACAAGCACTTTTAAGTTTTAAATGTAGCGGTGAGCAACATGTACAACTATAAGGGTGATAGATGAATAGTTATATTTTGCTGTTAAATTAGCCATGAGTTAAACTTTGTTTTGAGACAACCGTAAAAGTTAAATTGTTTCAGTAATCAATCAATTATATAAATAAATAATTGGTTATTGTAATAATCAAAATTTCTTTATTTGGATTATTTTGTTGAAAAGTGAGTCTAAAATATATAGTTTCATTTGGAAAATAAATAAAAATCAATTTAGTATGAACGTATTTATGAAGGTTAAAGAAAAAGAATTTTGTTAAAAAATAATTGTAAATTTTAAACTTTTAGAAGCTTGAAAATAACGTATTCTTTAGTTTTTTTTATTTATATCTCTAAATGTGCAACTTTTTTTTCTAAACATTTTTTGTTTCTCATAAAAACAACTGAAGTTTTAAATGTAATGATTTTTACATGGTACATAATTGAAGGATATTTGAGATATAATTTTAAATATAGGAGTATTTGCAGCAGCTATCATTCACACGACTATTTGTGATATTTATGTCATGTATATTTGCCAATGGGATAATTTAATCGAGTGCAGTGAGAAATAACAGGGATTATTGTCTGGCTTGACCCGGACACAGAATTAGAATGAAAGATCGGCATGTTAAGGATTAGCTGTAATAACAAATTTTTGCAGTAAAAAAAGTCGAGAGCGAGTGCATTGAATGTTTTAAGGTTACACCTACACAAGAATATACATGATTACATTCAGGTAAAAGTACGCAATATATACACTTCCATTAATCGAAAGAAACGCGTATAAAACTTTATTTAACTGATAGAAACAGATGACTGATTATACTTTAGCTTCGATCGGTGTAGCTGATGACAGGGATTCCCTTCCATGAGGCCTGCAAAGGATTTCGTTCTGAGAAGTACAAGGCATTACGGGTCTAATGCCCCCTGGATTCAGAGGAAAAAGGAGTTTGTAGTACCCATCCATAATTTCTGTAAAATTGCAAGTACCCGCCACCTTCGGTATCTGCCAAATCAATTGCAGTACAGCATTCAGCACAAAAATTACAACTCACAATACAGAATTCTCAGGTAATTGAGCACACGCACCTGATAAATGTCACGCATGTAGGCATGCAGATTGGGATACTCATAGAGCTTCTTCTTGGTGCATTTAAAAAGAACGTTATAAGCTAGATCAAACCTAATCAGAGTAGTAAACAAGCAAACATCCACAAGGGTCAATGTGTCTCCACACAAGTACCGGGAACTCGCCAAGTGATCCTCCAACTTGTCAAGCGTGCAGAACAAGTCATTCACCGCTCTATCATACGCTTCTTGACTCTGCGCAAATCCACACCTGAAAAAATTCCCAATTTCATAAACTAGTAGTACAAAATAGAATTTCTCAAATTCTAAATTGTTCAGTTCACTCACCTATACACCCCGTTGTTGACATTCGGATATATGACTCGATACCATTCCTCAATCTTTTCCTTCAACTCAGGGGGTGAGAGATCCAAATCAGGGTTTCCAGCCACGCTGTTTAACGAGGAATTGAACAAGTGAATTATGTCGTAGCTTTCATTGCACACAACATCCTTCGAAACCTTATCCCACAACATGGGCACCGTGGACCTCCCATCATACCCACCTCTCCGAAGCCCATAAACCTCCTTCAACGTCCGACACCCATTCGCCTTATCCAAGCCCGGCCCAATCCCAATCCCAATCCCAATCCCATCCGCATCGACGCGCTTAAACTCCCACGACCCATCCAGGCCCGGCGACGCAACCGAGACGGGCACGGCCTCCTCCAGGCCCTTCAACGCGCGCACAATGAGCGTGCGGTGGGCCCATGGACACGCCAGGCCCACGTAAAGATGCAGACTCCCCGGTGAAGGGTTTCCCGAGAATCGGAACTTGGAAGGCGGCCTGGTATACCCACCGGAGGAGTCGGAGGGAGCGAGCTGAGACATCATGAGCCGCCACGTGGAGTTCCAGGTGGCGCGCACGGTGGTAACGAGAAGCCCCGGCGGAAGAGACTGCCCCCATAGCAATTTGGTCACCGCATTCAGCATAGAAGAAGAGTTGAACCTTGAATCGTTGTTCAGCGACATCCTCAGCCTGGGACGCGTGACGTGGCGCGAACCTCTCGGCGGAGGATTCACAAGGAGAACCGAGGAACAACAAGAACAGCACGACGACATCGTTTTTAGCAAACGGTTAGTTAGCCTAATCTATGTATCTATCTATAATCTATAAATAAAATAACATAACATAAAGAAATAACTTCTTTTCTCTAAAATTTTTCAATAAAAAAACTCCTATAACTCCTAATATTTTAATATTCATATAGTTTTACAATAAAATTATAATTATTATATTAACTATATAATAACACATTAATAAATGAAAATTGTAACAGTTTCATAAAACATTAATTATAAAAATGATCGATATATTTATATTAGTCAAAAAAATTACGTTCTGATAATTTTAAAATACAAATAATTTACTTCACGAACTCTTTTGAATAATTTAAAATTATAATTATAATTATATTAATTATATGATAACATGTTAATATAATTTTTTTTATCGATATCAAAAGTATAAATTTTAAATTATTAATAATTATGTTAATAATAAATCACTCTAAAAAATTTAAAATTAAAATTTTATTAATTATATAATTTAATAACACATTAGATATCATTAAACTTTAATTATGTTATTACAATTTTAAATTTAATAGTTGCTTCTTCATTAAACTTTTATTTTATTTATTTTCATGATTTGTTTGTTTAAAATATATATATATATATATATTTTTTTTTTGGTTCATCGCTGGAGTATCCAGGGCCGACAGCAGTCAAGATTTAACGTGGCTGTATACACAAGACAGGATTCGAACCCCTGATCTTGCTTAAGCGTGGATCAACCCCTACCGCTGAACTACACGCTTGGGGTTTGTTTAAAATATTTTAAATAGGATATAAGAAATTTTTAATTTTTTGTAAGATTATATTTTTTTTATTATATCTAATTGGGAACGATCTCTTTTAAGTTAATATATATAAATACAAGGGAACAACTCCTATCAAAAAACATTTCTCTAAAAAAATTTTCCAACAAATTTTCAATTTTCGTATATAAATTTTATAAATTAAAATTAAATTATGTTAATTTTATAATATAATAACACATTAATATAAGTAATAATAACAATACCATAAAATATTAATTACATTAATTTTAAATTATTACGGTTTTAAAATAAAAGTAGTTACAAAATTTACATAAAAATATTAATTATTATTTTAAAAATTGACATAATATCTAAAAAATAATAACATATTAATAAAGTTAGAATAAAAAACTTTTCAAAAGTATTAAATTTACTCAAAGTAAACAAATGCAATATTTTGTAATTTAGTTTAAGTTAATAATTTTTTCTTAAAAAATATATATTGTTCTATTCTGTCAAATGTAATGAAACAAATTATCCTACAATATTTTATGTTATACTTAACTATTTTCATGGACATTAATTGAGAGCAATATATTACGGTGTATGTTTTTTTTTTTACTTATATTCATATGAATATATTTTGATATTTTTTTTTACTCTTGAGCATATTTTGATATTAATATTTATAATCTATAATATATATAAAAGAGATAATTTGATTTGGTGTACATATTTTTTAAATAAATTTATCTCTAAATTTTTAAACAATAAAAAATATATTAAAAATTATTTATTTTTATAAATAAAATTCAAATTTAAAATCTTGAAATTTGAGAACTAAATGTAATACTTACTGATTTAATAGATGTCAATAATTTATAAATATTTTTATTAAATAAAATATAAAACTATAATGTAATCCGACTCAATTAATAATAAATAACTATATTTTCTTTTAAAGTATTGTAAAACATAATAAAAAAATATATTTAATAATAAATTTATTGTTAAAACAGAGATTAAAAAAAGAAGAAAATCCTGTCACACGGATGAACGAACTAGAACTAGAAATAATAAAAATAATATAGGCTTAGCCCAATAATAAGACTGGCCCAGCCCATATGAACCCTAAAACCAAAACCCTTGTTTGTTTTAGTTATATATATAGAGAGAAACGTTAGGTTAGGGTTGGAGGGGGAAGTGAGAGACGGAGCGATGTCGAAGAGAGGGCGTGGTGGATCGGCGGGGAACAAGTTCCGCATGTCGCTGGGTTTGCCGGTGGCGGCGACGGTGAACTGCGCGGACAACACCGGTGCGAAGAATCTGTACATCATTTCAGTGAAAGGGATTAAAGGTCGCTTGAATCGCCTTCCTTCTGCTTGCGTTGGTGACATGGTGATGGCTACCGTGAAGAAGGGCAAACCTGATCTGAGGAAGAAGGTCTTGCCAGCTGTCATCGTTCGCCAGCGCAAGCCCTGGCGCAGAAAGGACGGTGTCTACATGTACTTCGAAGGTACTCTTTCACTTAAATTAATCTCGTTTCGTTTCTTATGTGTTGCTTCTATAGTTCTTTGATCTCGAGTGCCTCCTTTTCTGGTTTGGCATTCGCACTGGGAAGCATATACTTGTATATTGCCAGTTTTTAACAGCATGATGTCTATTTATTTGCATTGTGTTACCTGTCTGCTGGTAAATCCCTTTGTAATTCATTTTTAACCCTAAGTTTGTGATTGCTTTGATTCCTGCACGACTGAATAGTAAATTCTTAGATAATTTTCTGTGTAAGCTTTGCCTTCTAATGGCTTCCTAGCTTTGGTTTAACTGTTTACTTATCAATTATTGTTCGAGTTTGTTTTCATTGCTATTGTTTAACCTGGATCATATGTAATGTTTTCTTCATATCGATGTGCTGTTTGCAGATAATGCTGGTGTCATAGTGAATCCCAAGGGTGAGATGAAAGGTATCTCTTCTTAATTCGTTCTTTACTTGCATATTTACAAAAGGAATAAACGTTGTACAAATTTTGGATGATGTGAGCACGAGGTCACTATTTTTTCCCCTTTAAATGAAATGAATAAAGAATTGATGACATCGAGCTTTTCTATTTACTATACCATTCATCTTTGCGGTGTTACCTCAGTGAATTTATTGGTCTTAATTTTGGTTGTCTAACGTGGCTATGTAGGTTCTGCTATCACTGGACCCATTGGTAAGGAGTGTGCTGATCTGTGGCCAAGGATTGCAAGTGCAGCCAATGCTATCGTTTGATGGGTGTTTTTATTTAATTAGCTTATATGTTTAAGCTTGTAGACCTTAAATTTTCTCAGATTTTGTTTTTTTTTCTTCTTGAAATTGAACTGCAATTAATACATTTTTTTTTTACTTTTCCGTATTTTATCAGTAAGTAGCTTTTTGAAGAGATGAGATGAATCTTGAATTGCTAGTTAAGAATTTTATTCCTGTTTCTTCCTCCCGTGTTATCCTGTCATTTTTATTTGTATGGTTCTCTTGTTTTGCTTGAATTTATTTATTTTTTATGAGGGGAACGAATGGGTGTATTATTATATTGGTTTGAACATGTGAATTTACAATTACTGTTGCCTATGATTTTGAAGGATTTTTTTTATAGCATTCTAGGTTTGGGGATTGAAAAATGAAAGATCGAAATGAAGGATTGGTTGAGGTGGGTGTGTTAAAAATCTTATTTTTGCAATTAAACGGAATTCCAGTCTTGACGGTTAGAGTCAGGAATGATAAGTTGCATCTTATGTAGGATAAATTACAGAATAGGTTATCGTCATGGTAAAATACGTTTTTTAAAATAAGGTTGAAAGATTTGCCTTATTGAATGAGAGAGGTGGAGCAGGGAGAGATGGAACTCAAGAGATGAGAAAGAGAGCGCGACGCAAGCCAGCGACGGAGTGAGCACGGAATGAGGCGAACGAAAAGCAAGTGAAATTTTTTGAAATTCTCGTTTCACGTAGAAATTGAAATTTCATGCTTTCATTTAATTAAAATATTAATATAAAATCCTAAAATTTTAAATTCCTTTCTAATAAAATTTCCAATCAATTAATTTTACAACAAAAAATTTAAAATTCAAGTTTAAATTACGTTTCCCATTTAAAATCCTTTACTCGAACACTATTAAAATATTTCACTTGCCTTTAATCATCCAAATAAATAGACTTGTTAGCATGTAATTGTATTTGAATTGATATTAGTTATCATTATTCGTCACATTTTATACGTTATTATAAAGTTGTGACAATAAAAAAAGCTACTATGGTCATAAAATCAAGGTCCATTTTAGATTTTAAAAAAATCCGTAAAAGATTTAATAATTTAATTAATTTAATCACAATATATACTTATCATAAACATCTTTATTACTGTAAGTAAATATAATAATATAATTTTATTAATTAAAAATAAAAACAAAATTCGATAGAATTTAGACGAAGAAAAAATTAATATGATGTCATGTGGCATCCGTCAAAATGATAAAATTTTCTTTTATAATACATGTAATCAATCAGTATTTAATGAAATATTAATATTAATATTAATTATGTTATCCTAAAAAATAATATTACATATTATTTTGTTAGAATAATATTAATATAAGTTATTCTAAATGTGTGATAATAAAAAAGTTATTACAATTATGAAATCGAGATCCATTTAAGATTCTTTTAAAAAAATCGATTTAAGATTTAATAATTTAATTAATCAGAATATAATATTATTCTAAATATCTTTGTGAGACTGTAAAATTATAGTAATATATTTTTGTGAATTAAAAAATAAAAAATCTTAAATATGTTAATAAAATGAGCATGTTTTGATTTTTGTTCCTATAAATTTTTTTCTTTATTTTTCAATCTTTCTAAAATATGAAACTATGATTTTAGTTAATATTATTATTTGACCATTTTTAGCTACTTATATGTTCAAATTATATAATCTTTCCAAGTTATCTAAAATTGTATGTGAAGTTTTATCTGCATGTAATATTTCTAATTTAACTTAATTTATTTTATTTTATTTATAAATTTATAAATTCTTAAAATAAGTTTTATATATATACCTTGAAATTGTCACTATGAACCAAAAAATAGACACTAAATTTTATAGGGATTAAAGTCAAAGGAAAATATCGTATAGAGATCAAAATCCATTTTTTCTTATTTTACAACAATCAAAAACAATGTTTTCAAAATTTAAAAGATTAAAATTCAAATTTTTTTTATAGAAACTAAAATCATATTTAAGACAAGCAAAAAATAAAATTTGATAGAACTTAGATGAAAAAAAAATCAATATGATGATGTTACGTGATATTTATCAACGAGACAAAACATTTTTTATAATAGACTAGTAAAATTGAGATAATTCGTCTCTTTACATATTTTATTTAAATAAAATAAAATAAAAAAATAAGAAAGAAAGAAATTTATAATAAGAAAGGTTGTGGATGATACATGTATTGAAAACATTATAATAGAAAGATAGTTTGCTCAATCTAAATTTTCTTGTTTACATATTAATTGTGGTTTTATTTAAAAGAGAGAATATAAAAATAATAAATAAGAGTAAAACTAAAAATAGTTACAATAAATATAATAAATTAGTGAATATAGATTTATTAACATGTAATCTATTAGTATTTATTTTAATATTAATTAATATTGTTATAAATAATATAAATTCATTTTTTTGACAACACTAACATAAATTTATTAACATGTAATAAATTAGATTTTAAAGTAATACTACTTCTGTTTTGTATTATAAGGAAAAATTGATTTTATGCATATTAAGAAAATTAGTTATCTATATTAAATTTTGCTAATCCTAAATTGTCTTTGTTATAAAAGGCAAAAAAAAAATAGTGCAATCGAAAGATAATGTATTAAAAAATAGATATTTTGTGTGTTTATAATAGAGAACAAAAGCAATCAAACTGGATATACAATTTTATCGTTAAGGTAAGAAGAAGTTATAACTCCTTATATAAAAAAATGTAAAAGTTATTATAAATATGTGACAATAAAGAAGTTACTATAATTTTTAAAATTGTGTATCTTTTTTGTTTATAATAGGGAACAAAAGCAATCAAACTGGAGATACAATTTTACCGTTAAGGTAAGGAGAAATTATACCTCCTTATATAAAAAAGTGTAAAAATTATTATAAATATGTGATAATAAAGAAGTTACTATAATTTTTAAAATCAAGATCCATTTAAATATTTTTCTTAAAAAAAGAATCTAGAATTAATTCTAAAAAATCCTACACTTACTTGCAAATTTCTTATAATTTCTATATAAATGGCTTCAATTTGTTTATATTTTCACTCAAATTTTGAGTTGTTTGAAAATCAACACAAATACACGTTTAAAGAATAGAAGTAATGGGTTGTAGAGGGTTTGTGTTGTGTCTAGCTGTGATCATGGTGGCGACTATGTGGTGTGAAAATGCTGCCGAACCTAATTGGCATAATTGCGAACCTGAAGTTATTAAATTGGACCCTTGTTTGGCGTACGTAAGGGGAAAAGGAGACGAATCTGCCTTATCAACTACATGTTGCTCACGAGTCTCAACCTTAGTCAAATCTATACCACAATGTCTCTGCTTCGTCTTTAACAGTGGCCCTTTCATTTTCGGAATTCCCATAAATCAAACTCTTGCTCACAATCTTCCTGCTGCTTGTAAGGTGAAAACACCACCCGCTAGCATCCTCTGCAAAGATTTTCCCCCTTCTTTTTAATATGAAACCAAACTAATAGGGAATGTTGAATAAAACAACTTCATGTCAAGTTATTTGTTCATGATACATGTCGTTTCTTTTGCTTGCCCACTTTAATTTTTTTTAATTAATTGTTTATGATTAGTTATATTGGTCAATGAAGTTTTTACCAAATACAAATTTACTCATAAACTTATTTACAAAATTTATTAAAGTAAATTAAAAAATTCATAAGAAGGTCATAACTTCTCTATATATAAATGAATGGATTAAATTGTATTTTTATATTTAAAATAATTGGATTGATCATTGGAAAAAAAAATAGATGATCATGAATAAATCAATAAATTATTAAGTTAAATTCTCTTATTTATGTCTATTTGATAAAAAATTTAGTTGTATATACATATATAATTGATTATATAGGATAACAGTGTGACATTTTGTCTCACTTTGCAAAAATATGAAGTTATATTTGTATGATCTCTTCTCTCGTCACTCCTCTTCTACTTCATCTTTTCCAAACAACCTTCAACAGTAAATGTTGATGTCTGGAAAGTGTACAAATATGAACTTGTAATAAGTAGTGATTACAAGTTGTCTTCGCAGAAATTTGACATATATTGATCAAATTTAACACTTAAGTTAATTAAGCAAATAATTATTATCCACAATTCTATTAACATAAGACACAAATTTTATTTTGAAATTTGGAAATAAAACTAAAGATAAGATGCAATAAATAGTAAAATTGAACTTAATTTAGTTGATCTAGGCTGTAGGGACCAAACTTCACCAATAGGCATGAAACCTAAATTCGTACCGTGGGTACCAATTTGAACTTAATCAGTTTTTATGGAAAAATCAGCTTTGATTAGGTAGATGTTTTTTTCGACTTGAAAAATTAGGTTTAGACATATAACACTTTTCCTTATTGTCTTTGTGTTCCTTCACACCTCACTGAATTTTTTTTTTACAGAAAAAACATATATATATATATATTATATATATATATATTAAAGTTAAGTTATAATTTTTTTAAAATGTTAAAATTACAAATGAATTATTTTAATAATAAAACAATTCTAATTATAACAATAATTAATTAAAAAACTTAAAATTATATGTTCAATTAAAAATATAATTTAATTCTTAAATTTTTTATTTATAATTTATTTCTTATTTATTATTTTTTTATATATTACATAAATTTTAATAAATTATTAATTAAACATATAATTTATTTAAAATGTATAAGTAAATAAAAATTATCAAAAAAATATGATGGATTTTTCATATGTTTAGTCAAATTCAATAAAATCCGATTGAGATAAAGGTGGTTTTAAAAATACAATTATTTATCATTTATTATATTATTTTATTTTTACTAAGAGAAAAAATTGTTTTGATGAAATAAATGTTAAAAAAAAATGAAATAAATAAATTTTATTCAAGCGGAGAAGTTTTATCCAACTATGTAACCGTATATAGTCAAATACTTTTTTAAAAAAATATTTTTTCAAATGTAAATTTTTTTGATAAAATAATTTTTTTTTTGTTTGAATACATATAATAGAATAAAATTAAAAAGTGATATCATTTTTAATAACTACTTTAAGTTTTCATTTTTACATGGACCATTTTATCTTTTATTTATTTTTTAATAATTACCTTTTTATGAATAATTTCTCATTTTTATTTATTTATTTTTTTCTTTTA